CCACGGCCATCCACGCCCAGTGTTCCCTGCCGGACCTCAACCGCGAGTATCCATGCCAAGTGTTCCCTGCCGGACCTCATGTAGGAAGATAAAATGTCAGATAGAGTGCCAGAAGATTTGCCAGGTAGAATGCCAGAAAATATGCCAGAAGATATGCCAGATAGATATGCCAGAAGATATTCCAGAAGATATGCCAGATAGAATGCCAGATAGAATGCCAGATAGAATGCCAGAAGATATGTCAGAATATATGCCAGATGCCAGATAGAATGCCAGATAGAATGCCAGATAGAATGCCAGAAGATATGTCAGAATATATGCCAGAAGATATGCCAGATAGAATGCCAGATAGAATGCCAGAAGATATGTCAGAATATATGCCAGATAGAATGCCAGAAGATATGTCAGATAGAATGCCAGAAGATATGCCAGATAGAATGCCAGAAGATTTGCCAGATAGAATGCCAGAAGATATGCCAAAAGATATGCCAGATAGAATGCCAAATAGAATGTCAGAAGATATGTCAGATAGAATGCCAGAAGATGTGCCAGTAAGAACATATATAAATGTCATGGTGGGGATCACACGAAGTAAAGTAATTTACATGTTTTTGCCACCGGGTCAAAAACCGTACGTGTAGTCGTGCTCATTTCAGGAAATTGGGGTGGGGTGGGGTGGGGTGGGGATAATACCAACCGTGTCTATGGCTACGCTACATGATCTTCACTTGCACTTCATGCGACGCTACTTGATTTTCACTTGCACTTTCATGATCTTCGCTTGCACTTCATGCTACGCTCTTGATTTTCGCTAGTGCTGGGGAATTCCAACGCACAGAAAGATTTCGAAACAGAGCCTTGAGTGTTCACACAGGCACCATTGATTGGTGCTGGAAGCAAATGAAAACTCATATTCCAAAGTCCCTCAGGCTCTCAGTCAAAACAGATACCTTTGCGTATCCGCAGTTGGCAATGGAGATTCACACTTGCTGAGCATGACAACTTGCTTCAACTGTGTGGCACTCAAGTGGCCAAGTTGTAGGCAAGACAAGTCAGCGAGTAAAAAACACACATCGGCTCTCAGAGATGCATCCGTGGAGGTAACGGCATTTTGACAAAATTTGCTTGCCGCTGAGGACAAAAACACAAAAAAACGAAAACACAACCAGGATTATACATGTTGCATCATCGTCAGAGGCAAAATCACTGGTAAATCCCAGTGTTGGTCATAAGTGCCGAGAAGTGACTTGCTAACGCCTACACGTTCCATTCCCGACCCGGCGGGATGTTTTTGTTCACCAAAGTTACCGTTCCGGCGAGTTCGCTGATCGCAACATGGGTCAAATTGAGCGCCACATTCTGGGTCTGTCTGAAAATGGGGTATACCCATAGAATGGCCGTTTTAGAGGGAACATGATTCACCAATGGATTTAGAGGTCGCCTATTTCCAGACAAACCCATCTTTTTAATACTTTTTCAAGTTTCACTGCTCGACGTGGTACTGCGAACCAAGGTTGTTCGGCTTTCAAAAGCTCCTCGAGCAACATACTCCGGGCCTTCAGTAGCAGCTCCCTTTAATCCCTTTAATGAAGAACCTTGGTTCCAAGCATTGCCTTCCAACATCACCGTACCACGATGGGTTTTAAAATCAACAAACATAGCTGGGGGGTCGTGTTGTAGCAATTGATATCCTAACTATTCCATTTATATATGTCCCAAGAATATCCCATGAATAAATCAAGAATATCATCCCATTGATATCCCGTGAAGAAAAATAACATATCTTATAAGTTTCCCATGAACATATCGTATTAATAGGTGGTACAGTACATATATAAATCCCGTATGTTCGGACTCGGGTGACACTCGGATGACACAATTTGAACACAGAATACATATCCCACTCATATCCTATTATCTATTATAATGATATCCCATACTTATCCCATTGATCATGGAAATGACAAACTCCCATATCTTCCCTTGTAGCCATGTGTAAATATTTATTTAAAAAAAAAATATCAAATAATATGCAATATGTATAGCATTCTAAAGCGCGGAAAATCCAGTGAACTATACACCTATTGAATGCCATAAGATCCCCTTTTTGCTGGTTAAATCACGAGAATTCCTACGGTTTCCGTCCTTTGCGGGTTCCACTTTGTAGGGAAGATCCAGCGTAATCGACTTCACCGACCTCCGCTCACTCGTCCTGCATCTGCCTCTGGTCCTGCACCCTGCGCCGGAGTTCGACACATCTGACGCGCAGGGCCTAGGCCGAAGAATCACCGAGTAGATATTTTCATATTACTCTTGGATATTAATGGATAATATGATAGGAAATATTAGGTGGACATATTAAATAATTCTATAAAGGATATATATTATATATGAATATATTAATATATTATCCAATAGTAATGATATATAAAACTGATTTACATATATATATAAATAATATTACTATTAGATAATTTTAAATCACATATACATATGGGACATATTGATTTTATATAACTATCACAATTCAAACTCTATATTGGATACATATTAATAAGTTAATATCAGTAGTAACATTAATATGTATATATATATATATAAATATGACCATATAAAGTTGCTTTTATTTGTTTATTGATTATTGATTATTATTGATTGTGATGGGACTGTCATTCCAATTTATGTAATCACCTTTTGATTTGCCAATGATAACACTAGATCACGTATGTAGACTAGTAAACCATTGTAATACTTATACTTATATGTACACTATACTTAGACATCAAGTTTAGATCTTATTGACAATGATGTGTACGATCAATAGAAATTGTCCATGCTGTGCGGATCCAAGTGAATCTACCATGAAGGATTTTACCTATGAAGAATGGATACATTTAATGAATTAGCCCTGGAACATGCGCTTCTACCCTTTTATAGAGATTTACTGGGATAGAATGGGATTAAAGCGATCAGCAACATGACATGGGGTTGTCTCGAAATGCTGCATATATGTACCCTACAAAAAAGGTTTTTGTTGGGAAAACCTATGAAAATCAACAAAAATCATTCAAAATCAACCAGGAGAGTTTTCGGCACCAGTTTTGTTTATTTTGTTTCAAACAAAGCAGTCAAACGAGTCCAAATCTCAGCGATGGCCAAGTCTGGATTTCAATGGATAAATCGCTTGCCTTGGGGGAAGGTTCTCCGATGTTCCCCCAATTAGCAAATGGTTGTAATCCATCATGGGATATCATGGGTATTTATCCCATGTCTACATGGGATTTCAAAGACCCTTGACCACCAAATGAGAAACAAATCCAGCTGTACCCAGCTGTGGCACCTCGGCATAATCCATGGTTCCAGCGGAGGTTCATGCCGTTTGATCAACAAACGGCTCTGGCACCTATCGCAGTGTCACCACTTTTTGGCCAAAGTTATCTTCCACTCAGCTGGAAGGACAAATCATCTCTTGAACCGATGAGAAACTGGTCTTGCTGACGCAAGTGCGTGCAATAGTTTGTTCTTCTTCGCCGAAGCACGCTTCTGGGACCTGAAACAAGTCTAACACCTTGAGATGTGGCCAAACAAACACCGGCATTGTTCTCATTATTTTTTGACACACCCATCAAAGGCTGCTTGAAACCTATACCATCTACATCAGTATGAAATCCATGTGCCACAATTACTTAAAATTGACAAAATCGGGTACCACTATATACCCCATATATACAACCCTTGGTTCATCAGAAATGTCCCAAAAAACTCGCCACTTTGAGACAAACCCCACATGTTGACATGTGTTTGCTCATTTTCTTTTGCGGAGGCCTGTTCAAGAAAACAAACGACCATCAACCCTTGGTGGTAAAACCTTGCCCCCTCTGCCTGCTCGACTTTCAATTCTTTAACGATGTTTGGCAAACCCATCTAACCCAAACGCGCTATGAATCTCCATCTGTGTGGCCATAGAGAGCCTCTGTCTCAGAATGAGGCCTAACATATCTCCCTGCAGAATGGAAACCTCCGTCATTTTTTACAACATACCGGGGTTTCTCCCTGGATGGGTCATTGAACAACAACTCCACTGCTCCACTTTTCCACTGCTCGATCCACCATCGCCTGGACACGCCACTGGACGATACCGTTTTGGCTCGGCATCGAAATGGGGGTGTTTGTTTTGTTTTGGCTTCACAGCAACATTAACCTATTGTTTTCGAGCCAGAATGGTTTTTTGGAGGGAAACACATATTTAGATCTTTAGACTTTTGACATGTTGGTCACAACTCGTCCATACATACCACCGCCTGTAAATCTCCTGATGTTTCAGCCACTTCAGCCCCCGGAAGTTTTTTTTACCAAGGACACCTGAAAAGGTGCAGGTCCCACGTGGATATCTGTCCACAGATCATCCTTGCTTACCCGAAGTGACTGTTTAAAAGAAATCCAAGTGTAGATCAAAATACACTTTACCTTGATATACCTTGCCCGCTGAGATTGTGGGTCAGTTCACTGACCCAAACGTGTCATGCTTCCGCATTGTTAGGGATGGTTCACCAAAAACATAACATATATATATATATATGGGTAAATTCTAATATTTCACCAACCTGAATTAAGCCCATTTGGGGATGATTTCCCTTACTAACCATGATTCCCAGTGAGGTTGCAGTGAGGTCGTTTATCAGTGGCTTTACCACATACCATCCATGGGCCAACGGAAACACCAGGGCCCCAGGGCCCCATGTCATCTCTTTTTCGCAGGTGCAGCCGCGCAGCCGGTTACACCGAGGAAATTCCGAGCTGGGCATCTGGGGTCCCGTTGTGGAACCAGTGGCTGGTTGGTCCCATGTCGTTTTGGACCATTGCTTCAATGAAATTCTTATATCAGCTATATCCAATCATTAAGCCTCCAAGATGGTTAGAAAGTAACTTAAGTTCTAGTACTAAGATGGGTATAGTTGTTCAAGTTATTACAGTAGATTTACTTGCTGAATGACAGTAGACCTACGACAGTTAGCTTTCCAACCCATACCCAATACTCCAACTCGCCACTACCAAGACGCTTGCGATTGCCCTGCCTTTGGCAGTGCCATCTAACGCGGTCACGCGGCGTCTCGCGCGGCGGCTTTGATATCTCGAAGTTCCTTAACCAAGAGGTCTAAGTCGCGAATGGCGTAGACGTGATCACCAAAATAATACCTCAGGGTGTTTGGCGCTTACCATAAACCATGGGGAAGTTCCAGGGTGTCTATGTGAGGGGGTGTGCTACAGTCCGCAGGAAACAGAAAACTATGAATGAATCTGACCCAACGGGGGGAAAATAGCAAACAACACCACGAGCTGCTCAATTCTCTGGCCCCCTTGGGGGGCAAGCGCTGGCAGGCGCTTGATGTAACCACAACACAACATTTCATGCTGTACTTAGTCAGCTTGTGTGTTGTATTGAGTAATCTGCTAAGGGGATCTGAGGAGATGAAACTGTGGTTGTCAACTTGCCTTTATGGAACCAGTGAAGCCATAACCCAAAAGCATCTGTGCATGGTGTGTTCGCTAGCAAGGAATCCAAACATAGCTATGTCCGACAGAAACAAAAACTGTTCAATCCGAGTTTTGGTTCGACAAAAGCAGGCTCAATGCTGAAAAAACACCCAAATCAAGGTCACACCTCAACTGTTGACGCAGAGCCATGTTCATACCTTTGGATTGGTTGAATGATGTTGGAATCCCCCACCTTGATTTCGGGGTTTCCTACGCTGGGTGACCACATTCTTAAGGGGGAAAGCAAAGGTCAAGGGGTGCGCCAAGTGTGACAAGCATCAATTTGATGTTATCACATCCAACTAGTTGCAATAAAATTATCCCGTATCAACATTAAACCATATCTCATCAATATCAACTCCAGATTAAAACAAATGATTGATTGATTTAAGGGCACACCCCCCTGGGATAGTGACCATGTGCTACTACAATGGTACCCCAAAGCCCAGGGTTGATCAGGGGGTTGACATTATATCCACATATCATTTGATCCCCATTAGACTATTACTCATATATCGATAGTTCTACCACCACAAAATGATGATGTCTATCAATCTTTGGACAGGTATGCTAAATTTTTAGTTTATCTTTGCTATTAACTAACCAATTATGGGGGTACCCAATTTTGATCCATACCAAAACTTCATTCAAGATACAACTTGGCAGCTCCGAGTCTGGTCATCAGCGAGTGCCAGTCTCTTGCCGCCTTGTATGTGCTTCTAAGCCGCTTAACGACGTGGAAAGCGTTAGCATTGGGGGGATACTCACCCATTAAAAGGTTACTACGTGCAGTAGTTGGGTCGTCTGGGTCTATCAAATGTTTCGTAAGTGGTTTGCCAGTGATCCACAGAAAGCAACTGCCTGGAAACCCTGGCGCTTACCAGCAAAGTTCCGAGGATTTTCCTGCATATGCTCCCTTGAACCAATTCTGGCAATAGTTGTGTTTTGGAATTTAAAGCCTACTAATTCAACGCAGCAATGGAGAATCACAATTATAATTGTCCAATACTATTGTTTCAAGTATGGTCACCTAGGAACAATCCATTATAGTACAACGTTCTATTAGGATAGGGATTATAAGTACTAACATAATTATTGTTGATATAGTGACTGTTATCAACTGCAAGGTGGTCCCCCAGTCACAAGTGGGTTTAAAAAAAAAACATCTAACTAACTATATATATATATCGGTTACTTACTATCAACTTAATATCACCATCAGTCAATTATAGTGAACATAACTACTTACAATAATTGAGTATACCATAATTACCAATATATGCCTATAGTATATATATATATATCATTACATTATATAAGAATATGAAACTACTACAGGTCGAATATATAGGTCGAATTATATATGTCAAATATTTCATGATATATTACATTATATATAAATTTACTATAGGTCAAAATCACAAATATTCTGAAAATAGGTGAAACTATCTAAGACAAATATCATATTACATTCCTATTACCCTCTGGTAAACTAACATAGCTATGGAAAATCACCATTTTCAATGGGAAAATCCACTATAAATGGTCATTTTCAATAGTTATGTTAAATTACCAGAGGGTAAAGGTAAAAATTACTATTATTTCTCCGTGGCGCCCACAGATGCGCCCAGCGGATCGAAACTGTGTTGCGACGACGCAGGGTGATCCACCCCGCGGGGGTCGTCAGGCGACCTGGTGGAGATCGAAGTCGATCCGGGGACCTAAGGATGGTCATTGTGACAATTTATTGTGGATTTATGATGATTTATGATGATTTATTGTGGATTTATGATGATTTATGATGATTTATGATGATTTATAGTGGATTTATGATGATTTATGATGATTTATGATGATTTATAGTGGATTTATGATAATTTATTGTGGATTTATGATGATTTATAGTGGAATTATGATAATTTATTGTGGATGTATGATGGTTTTTTGTGGATTTATGATGATTTATTGTGGATTTATGATGATTTATTGTGGATTTATCATGATTTTTGTGGATTTATGATGGTTTATTGTGGATGTATGATGGTTTTTGTGGATTTATCATGATTTATTGTGGATTTATGATGATTTATTGTGGATTTATGATGATTTATTGTGGATTTATGATGGTTTTTGTGGATTTATGATGATTTATTGTGGATGTATGATGATTTATTGTGGATGTATGATGATTTATTGTGGATGTATGATGATTTATTGTGGATTTATGATGATTTATTGTGGATTTATGATGGTTTTTGTGGATTTATGATGATTTATTGTGGATTTATGATGATTTATTGTGGATGTATGATGGTTTATTGTGGATTTATGATGATTTATTGTGGATGTATGATGGTTTTTGTGGATTTATGATGATTTATTGTGGATGTATGATGATTTATTGTGGATTTATGATGATTTATTGTGGATGTATGATGATTTATTGTGGATGTATGATGAATTATTGTGGATGTATGATGATTTATTGTGGATGTATGATGGTTTATTGTGGATGTATGATGATTTATTGTGGATTTATGATGATTTATTGTGGATGTATGATGAATTATTGTGGATGTATGATGGTTTTTGTGGATTTATGATGATTTATTGTGGATGTATGATGATTTATTGTGGATGTATGGTGATTTATTGTGGATTTATCATGATTTATTGTGGATTTATGATGATTTATTGTGGATGTATGATGACTTATTGTGGATGTATGATGATTTATTGTGGATGTATGATGGTTTTTGTGGATTTATGATGATTTATTGTGGATTTATGATGATTTATTGTGGATTTATGATAATTTATTGTGGATTTATGATGATTTATTGTGGATGTATGATGGTTTTTGTGGATTTATGATGGTTTATTGTGGATTT